GATTACACAGGGGTACAGATTCCCCCCTAAAGAAAAAAATATGGAATTTTGGGCTTAAGTTATTAACATCAAAATTAAGGTTTAGGCTTCTGATAATTGTTTTGAAATGTTATATTTATGTAGATATTGAGCCTAAACAAGTTCCAGAATAATAAAAGGATTATGATTAAATCAAAACAAGGCTAAGGTGAGTGCAATTTAAATTGTACTTATGTGATTGATCAAGCATTGGCTTGCGATGAGCCAATGATGAAGTTACTATGGTAAGAAGTAACTTATAAAATGTTATGTGATTACTATGTGTGCATTAGTATTTAGAAATTGATGTATGTTATTATATGTTACTTGATATGACATGCAAGGTTACATGAACAAATGAGAAATGATAAAAGCCATATGAAATGATCTATGTGAATACATGCATTTGTGATACGTGTTATATGATATTAGATATATGTTTACACATACATGTGGCATGTGACAGAAAAGAAGGAACATGTGATTATAAGATCAATTATTACACATACATGTGATACGTGACTGAAAAGAAAAGATATGTGTTTATAAGAGAAATGATATGATTAAGTAATGTGAACTGTTATAAATGATAATGCCCATGTTATGTGATATGAGAGCTAGGGGTATAGTTGGCATGCCAAGGGTCGAGGGTTTACCTATGTTTTTCGGGACATATGGATTGTTTACCTATGTTCTTCGGGACATATGGACTGATTACCTAGGTTCTTCGGAATCTATGGACTGGTCCTTCAGGACATTTATACGACCTGTGGTGACAACATAGTGGTGCACAACCTCAATGTACTCGCATACCTTAAGTTCTCACTGGTGTACATGGGCTAATAAAGAGATTTAATAAGTATACTGAATATGATATGTATATGTGATGTGCTATATGGAATAGATCACAAGATTTATATAATGGTGTATTGCTTGGTTAATGCATGATAAGTTATGTATAAGATTGTTAAATTATAAGGATTAATGATAATGAATATGAAATGTTAAACGTGTTGATAAGGATATATGTGCATGTGGGTATATGTTACAGAAATGATATATGTTTTCATATGATATGATCGTAATAAATGTTTTATGGGTTCCATTATATGTTTAAATGCCTCACTAATTCATCGACTTAGCGTGTGATTATTTCACACGTAGGTTTGGAAAGAGAAAAGAGAAGTAAAGAGGAACAAGACAGGTCAGTTCTCCTTACCGAAGATCAGATCAGAAATGTAGATCGAATTACATGTATTTTGTTAGAAAGAATTATAGTGGTTGGCATGTAAACAAAGATTTGAATCCGATATGTTTAAAATCGGTTTTGTAAAATCATATGATTGAATTTTATAATGTTTTAAATGTGTATATGTAAATGAAAATTTTATACGGATGAAACCTTAGATTTTTATGAGTTTTATACATGTTTTACGAAAGTACTGTAGCAGTAATGTAGCAGGGTATCAGTTCCCTGTAGCAGGGGAATCAGTTCCCCTCTGACATTTTGGAAAATTTTAACATTCGGGTATTGTTCACGGTACTGGTCATTACTGTTCATATGATACTGTTCATTGTTCATAAAACGTATATTTTCTTAAATTGGTTATAACAAACATGATTCAACAATATATTATCGTATTGTCTTAAAAAGAGTTCAAATGTTCTGATATTTTGTAAGAATATCGTTTTTAAAAGTCAATGTGACATCTTAAACTCGTATTCGGGTCGGATACGGGTTGGGGTGTTACATTGACTCGTTTTTTGTCAGTGAACATCTTCTCATTTCCTACTGTTAATCTCAACCATCTATTTTTCCTCATCCAACGATCATAAATTTGTGTAAAACTAAAAAAGTTTTACATTCTACAACAAGATTATATCCCCATATATATATGGCTACTGAGAAAGGATGAAAATCAAACAAAATACTAATCCATATATTGAAAAGAAAGGAATGGAAATACAAACATTACATTAATTTGTTTGATAAAAAGTTCATTACATTACATACACATTAAATGTATATATAAAAAGTAACCCACACCCCACTTTGACGGTGCTTAGACCTTGGTGTACATGCATGAACATGCTGCAATGCTTACCTAGTATGTTCTCCTTCATTGATAGTAAAACCTAGCCACCTCCTCCACCGAACCTTATGATTAGAAAATTTCGTTTAATACAAAGACGTCAGCATCCGTCAATGGCCAGGTCCGCGGTGGTCGGGACCGGAATAAGCTCTGCTTATGCTAAAATCCTTCATATATTAAGAACCTTGAGCCCTCAGCATGCAAAGAGTTTGAGAGCAATAGAAACAAGATGAATATGGAAAGGATATTAAGAATTTGGACAAGATGGACAGACCCCATTGTTTTATTCTAGCTTTGGTTAGGTATGTGGACATGGGTATACTTATATATGTACATAAAAAGGTGGTAGAGATTTGACATTTGAAAATCTAGCTAGGGTTTTGAAAACGTAAAACCCAGGGTTTTGACTTGGGTGAGATGAAACATGAACAAGTCAATATGTTGGACAAAAGGAATGAATTAAAAAGATTTGTGGTTGGTGAGCGTTTGCCAACATATAAAAAACTTTAGGGTAAACTAGCTGTACCTAAACTATAATTTTTTATTCGTTTTAGTATTTAAACTTTTATTTTATTTAAAACATTCATAAATTTTACTTTTTATTTCATTTTAGTATCACACTGTTAAAAACTTTTGTTTTGTTTCATTTTAGTATCCCGTTCAAAATTTAACGTTAAATTTTGAAAAAAAAATTTGGAAGTTTAGGTGTACTAAAACGGACCAAATCTGATAGTTTAGATATTAAATACGTTAAGTTTTTAACGGTGGGATATTAAAATAAAATGAAAACTAAAAGTTAGGCATTATTTTGAAAAAATTGAAAGTTTTTATACTAAAATGAACAAAAATGATAGTTTAGGTACTAAATGTTCTCATCCTTTATTTTTATTCAATATTTTTAATAAAATTTATTAATTAACTAACGATCAATACTTATTATTCACATAACGTATCTAAATATATTAGAATGATGAAGTGGTATTATCACATCAAATAGTTACTTCGACATTCATTCCTTTTTTAAACATATTAACTTTCAATATTTTATTTCTCTTATCAAAATATATTATTTTTAATAAAATTCATTAGTAGACTAACGATCAACCGTTATTAGTAACATGGTACATCTAAATGTGTTAACCCTACCATCTTTACTTAAGTGTTGACGTCATGTTTATTGTTTATATGATAATTTTTTTAAAATAATTTCTACATGGGAGAGAAGGAAAAAGAAATTTTGCTCGTAATAAGTATTGTACCAAGAACTTAGAGAAAATGAAAGATGTCAGCTTAGAGCTTTTTTTTTGTTGCTCTTCTGATTCCAAGTCTTCTCCTTGATTATTCCGGATAAACTTGTGTCGCAGACCTGATTTTGATGAGTGAGTCTCTCAATAATGATTCTACATATACAAATACTCAAACTCGAGAGATTGTTAACCTTATGTGATATTTTTATGTTTACTTAACTGTTGGCTCGGTACTATCATGTATATTTAAGTGTTGATATGACATTTATCATGTGTGCTTAAATCCACATGTGTACTGATGTGTTACACATCATATCAACCCTTAAACACATATGATATATATCTCATCATCGCTTAGAATATATGTGACAATATTACATCAACTATTATTATTAATCGTAAATTAACTAATAATTTTAGAAAATAATCATTTTGATAAATTATTGTCCTTCGATGAATTGTTGATTTAAATATTTATTATAAAGATTTAATAATGTTACTTAATTAGACTAGTTTTTAATTTTAAAAGATTTTCATAAAGTACGTATACTAAATTGTGAGAAATTTAAGGAGTTTGACTAATTTTTAAATCTTCACAAAATAGATGGATAAAATCGGATCGTTTTTTGTTTCCTCCCAGTTATAAGGTTTTTCCTTGAATAATCCGGACCGACCCGCGTCGTACAACTAATTTTGGTGGGTGAGTCTCCCATCAGGGATTTTCTGCATACACAATGACTCAAACTCGAGACTTTACTTAAGCTCTATCAAGTTGTTTATCACTTGAACTAACCCATGTTGATCGAATAATCTGTTTTAGTGTATAATAGGCCAATGTTTTTAACAATAATTTATTTGGTCCTTTAACTAAACCAACTCTTTTGACTTTATGCTCATTTAGTTTCAAAATATTCAATCTTAAATCAATAAACGAAATAAAAAAATCCAAAAGTTTTAACAAGTGTGAGAGAATATCACTCTGCAAATTAATTAATGAGATTAGTCAATAATCTATGGCAAATGTAAACGAGATTGTGTGTAATTAATGGGATTAGTCAATAATCTCCCACAAATATGTAAACAAGATTGTGTGTATGGCTGAGTGAAGTCTTTTCAATGGAATTTTGAAGTCCATATGATTTATAAAATACTCTTTAAACTTTGGGGAGTGAATGGTTGCAAATGGTAAACAACTTTGTGGCTCATAATTAATTGTTATTATTAAAAAAAAGCTCATTTGTCGACTAGATTCAGGGACGAAGTCAATATCAAATATTAAGATAGTCAAAGTATTTTAATTTCAAAATAATAAAGACTTATTCTGTATTTAATCTAAAAAAACTTCGGGAAGGACAAGAACCCCACCCACTCCTTAACCCACTCCTTAAGTAGCTCCGTCCCTATCTAGATTGAATTACTCTAAAATTATTTTAACTTAAGGCATGATATATTCGAAGTGGAAGCATAAAGGATCATTAAAATTAAACTAGAGTGCTTATAAGTGATAGTATCTATTCTGATACCCTACCGTTTTTGATGCTCGAACTCGGAACTTCTACGCATAACATTCATTTCTTTAACTTATGGCCCAATAAGAGTTGTAAATGGATCAGCTTTGTAAAATTGGGAAAAGTAAGGAAAATCCCATTTCCACCCTTAAACCCTAACCGGAACCATTACTCGGCTACTACTTCGTTCAGCTTCTCTCTCGGACGCTTCAAATCTTCATTGGGAAAATGGCTTGGCGCAGTGCAGGATCCTTCTCCCGCTCCGTCATCTCCGCCGCAAGGGCTCCTTCGCTTCGCTCCACTCCGCCGCTTCCCCGCCTCCGTCCCCCGACTTCCTCTGCTCCCCGCCTCCAGTCCCGCCGCCTCTCTTATGCTCCTACTAGGTCATTGCTCTGAACACCTCTTTTGGAGACAAAAGAAAAGAAAACGGGATTTTGCTGTTTTTTCAGTCAACATTGTTTTCGTATTTTACTGTAATGATTAGAAATGAGAGTTGGTAGAGATTTGTTAGCTGCGAAGTCCAATTCATGCATTGTTTTGTTAAAATGGGATCTTAAATTTCAAAGGCCATATGTATCAGTGAAACTTGTTCGAGAGATTGTTTTATATGAAAAAAAATGAAGCTTGATTATTGTTTTCTTATGTTTGTTTCAGAAATTTAGGAGAATTGGGATGTTTGCAATCATTCTTGCCTCTGAATAGCATGGTCAAAATTGTTTTATATGAAAAGAATGAAGCTTGGTTATGGTTTTCCTATGTTTGTTTCAGAAATTTAGGAGAATTGGGATGTTTCCAATCATTCTTGCCTCTGAATAGCATGGTCGTGGTCAAAATTGTTTGATATGAAAAGAATGAAGCTCGGTTATGGTTTTCCTATAATCCTATGTTTGTTTCAGAAATTTAGGAGAATTGGGATGTTTCCAGTCATTCTTGCCTCTGAATAGCATGGTCAAAATTGTTTTATATGAAAAGAATGAAGCTTGGTTATGGTTTTCCTATGTTTGTTTCAGAAATTTAGGAGAATTGGGATGTTTCCAATCATTCTTGCCTCTGAATAGCGTGGTCAAAATTGTTTGATATGAAAAGAATGAAGCTCGGTTATGGTTTTCCTATAATCCTATGTTTGTTTCAGAAATTTAGGAGAATTGGGATGTTTCCAGTCATTCTTGCCTCTGAATAGCATGGTCAAAATTGTTTTATTTGAAAAAATGAAGCTTGATTATGGTTTTCCTATGTTTGTTTCAGAAATTTAGGAGAATTGGGATGTTTCCAATCATTCTTGCCTCTGAATAGCATGGTTCCCACAGCTCGTCTCACATCACACATGACTGTTAAAGTGCGGGCTTGTTGCGAGCTGTCTCACGGTACCTTCCTCCGAACTTGTCAGGATCGCTAGTATTCTCTGTGAGTCTTATTATTTCTAGGGTACACGGAAACGAAAAGTGGAGCTTTTCCCGAGTTTTGTTATTCACATCTCTTGAGACTTGAATAACTTCAAATTCACAAACTTTTTATAATTGTTTTTGAATTGCTGTTAACGGGACAAGGAAAAGAATTGGTTTTCTTTACAATTGCTTATGTTTTTTGCGTTAAACTCACCAAAACAGGCATAAATTAGGTGAATTTGTTAGTTCTTTAAAGTCAGTTAATGAGAAGGAAATGGGATTGGGATTTATAGGGAGGAATGGAAAAGATGGATGATGCACGTCGACTTTCAATCGGCTAAAGGAGGGAGAATTGTACAACATTGTAGGTTTATATTTTCTTACTATTGTTTCACCTTTTATTATGAAAAATGCACTTAATAAGCTTATTCATGCCGAGTAACTTGAAAACCAAAAGCCTTGGATATATAAACTAAGAAACAATGGATTTTATTGTTCTTTTGCTCGACATATTTAAACCTCTTTACTCTTTCTTCTCTGAAGGAACTAGCTCTTTAATATGTTGGTCACTCAGTGCTGCCATTGTCGTAGGCTATATGAGAAAATAAATTGATCTAAAGACCTAGTACTTCCTCGTTAAATAAGTCGTTAGGAAATGCTAATTCCTAACTTTGATCCTGGAATGCACGGGCTGTAAACTAGATATGATCCTATCGCTTTCAATACTTCTTGGTAAAGTAACTGTTCTCAGATTTTAATTGATGTTTTCTTCCTTCTCAGTACTAGATGTTTTTAGTTTTTACTATTACATCATATTTTTCCTTGTGTTAAACTATAATAAGAAATGAGTCTTTACTTATGTTACTCAAATTCAGGCATTGGTTATTAGATATGGGTAGCATCTAGCACGGCCACACTCAATTGTCTCTACATTTTTTTGTATATATTTAGAGGATCATACCCCAATACCATGTTTGAATATGTGTCAGATATAGGATGTTGGACGCAAATACTTCGAAAAAAGGTGAAGGGTCGGAGTAACATAGGTCTTGACTTGTTTACTTCTAGCTGTTCCAAATATTTGGTCCTTAGTGTGCAGTAGAACATTCATGCCAGTGATGTAGTACTTAATAGTTAACTCGACATCTTTTTTATGTTACATAGTGTCAAATATTGGTATGAAATATGCTGTTCATTGGGAATGCTTGCACTAATTGAATGCTTTGTGCCGGACAATTTTTCGATAATTAGAACATTCGTTTTTGAGATCATCGCTTAAATCTTTTTGTTCCTTTTCTATACTGTATGTGCCTGGCAATTTGTGGTTTATCGTTCTTTCATACAAGTAAAATAGATTCCAATGACATTCATTGATTGAAATTGAATAACATATGTTGAACGACAAATAAATTTGATACAACTTGTGGCATGTTGTGGTTTGACAGCTTATCCGAATTGATTGACAGTCTTCCGAGGATAACTTGTTGCGTATCCATTGCAGGTACTTGAAAGGCCGTAGATGAGCACAGCGGAATGAGGGTGTATGAGATTAGATTGTCACTTTGGGAATCAGAGGCCAGGTCTTCTGAGTAAACAGATTATCAAATAAAATGACATGTTTTCTTTTACCATACCGTCGAGGATGAAACCCGTAATTTTCTTAACGATCTCCGTGTTTTTCGTGTTCGGGACATTAGTCTTGCTCCTATTGATCAGTTCCTTTTTGTTTGTGATTTAATTTGTCATGTGATGCCTGATGCATGGTATTGACAGTCTAGAATTCTCTTCCAAGTTGGACAAACTCAAAAATTAGCAACAGATATCAATCATCTTCTCTACAATCCATTTTTTCCGGATATGGCGTTTTCGCGAGCTCATTTGGCTGCGATTTCCTGGTTAGATGATGGATGGTTGAAGCTCCATCGAATATTTTCAAACCATTTACTAACCTTCATAAATAGAAGGCTTACAATATGGAGCTCAACTTGTCTTTAAATCAACTAACCGCATTAAGGGTCTTACAATGTGTGTCTATTAAAGATAATCCAGTATTGTGCTCTAGTAAGGAAAATCTGAGATTCCTCATTGGTGTCATATTGTAAACTAAAGAGAAGTATGAACCTATAAATAAAAATAGGCAAAAAGGCATCAAAGATATATGTATTTTTGAACGGAAAAAAAACTAGAACATGTAAATAAAAATAGGCAAAAGGCATCAAAGATATGTGTTTTCGAAGGAAAAAAATTTAATGCGATCACCGTATTATTTTTTTCTCTCAATGTGACCTTTTAACTCATAAAATAAATTTAATGTAGTCCTTTAACCATTGTTTTTCGTCATTGACCGTTATGATGTTAACATAACAATTTATGGTGATAAGGATGACATGATAAATTGATTAAATTGGTAACTCAAATATGAAATAGTTATCATGTCAACATTGTGGATCATCACATCAATACCGTGAATTGACACGTCAGTATTGTAATGGCTAACGATGAAAAACATTAGTTAAACAGTTACATTATATTTGTTTTTTGAGTTAAAAGTTTGAGAGAAAATAATATGAATAACACATTAATTTTTCTCTCTCAAAGTACAATATCTCTGATGCCTTTTTGCCATAAAAATATAATATTTTTATTCCGAAGGCTGAGCTTTGCAAAATTAGATGGTGCACAACTACATATTTAAACTTAATGGATTATTGTTGGTGTAATTATGAATCTCATCCCAGTATATTATGAAAAAATAATACGAAGACTACATTAGTTTCTTTTCAAAAGTACAGGGACCTCCAATGTAGTTTTAAGAAAAAGCATATACAATCATGCAGTTGATCATTCGGCTCATATCCCTCTCCTGAGAGATTCGACTCATATCCCTCTGCTGAGAGATTCGACTCCGGTTCGCGAATCGGAATGTATAAACAGAAACAAGAGCCGAAGCAAATTAGATCGAGCATATATCGAAATGGCTGAATTGTTTCATACAAGAAATGTTACTCTCTTCATTTGCTTTAATGCTTAAAGATGGAATGATGATGGTGATGTATCCTATTGCATTCCATGGAAACATATATAGAAAGCTTACATGTCGACACAAACCCACAGTTACTCCGAATCAGATGAGTCCGGGTTATAGCTTTGTCGGACACTCCTTTTGGCCTGTGCTCCGGGCTTCGATGATGATTCACCTTCGGAGAAGATGACTTGCGCTTTAGCCAATCTGTCTTCCAAATCTTCAGTGGAGAACTCATCCGTTCCCCCAAGCTCATCAAATCCCACCTGCAAAAGAAGCACATCAACTGTCAGCAACAGCAGAACCGAGATGATCGAATTCGGATATTACTTTTTATATCTTTGATGTCGGAAACAAACATTAACCATACCACATAATCATGGACTTTGGCATTTTTTATAAGGGCGAGTGTAGGAAGAAGAACAATCTTGAGCCTCTCAGACAAGAACGGGCTTTTCTCGGCATGAATTTTCACAAAACGCGTCTCGATGTGTTGCTTTGCCAATGCACTCATGTGCTTGTCCATCACCTGCGATTCAACTCGAACAAGACGAATTGTTTCAACTTAAAACTTAGCTAAGATTTATTAAGAATTTCATCTCCAATTTACAGAAACTGAAAAGTTAATCTCTCTACTTTAACTTGTCAGCAGTTTAATGATACATATAACCAAATTAACAAAAATCAGTAGCCCAGTAAGTTCAGGTGTTTTCCAACAATTGGACTAATTTCTCAATTCTCATACATTATGAGGACCGAATTCATAATTAGAACTTTGAATGATCACGAAAGAAAAAAAAGAAGAAACACAGTACCTTGCAGGGCCAGTTTTCGCGGTAGAAGTGGCAGACGACTCGCTCACTTGCTTTAACGATTGAAAAGAAGTCCTTTTCAGCTGGAATCTCGGAGTATTCACCGTGGCCTAAACCGATCCAACGGCTCCGCTTTTCCGCCATCTTCTTCATCTGCTGCAACCTCTGCTCTCTGATAACCTCCAAATCGTCTCGAGTCGATCCAACGCCACAATCTCTTCGTCGATCTTGTCCTCCACCGCCTTCGCCACCGTCAGTACCTGCTTCTCCAGGATCTGTACAATAATGAAAAAAATAAATAAATGAATGAATTAGAAGACAAAATCAAAGATCCACAGTTTGAAAGGGAAAGCTTAGGGATTTGAATTGAAGTTTACCTCTTGAATCTTTGAATTATCCATTGTTGGAATTAGATGATCTCTCTGTCAGTCTCTTGCCCTTGCTGGAATTTCAAAATTCGGAATTGAATTTCGGAAGCGGAGTGTTACTCACTGAGTGAGAGATGGGGATATTTGTTCCGTTTTGATTTCTGAATATATTGGGGTTAGTAAATTGTAAAAGCGACGCCGTTTATGTTTGGAAATGTGAAAAAAATAAGGATAAACTATGTATTTAGTATCAGTTTTGGTTCACTTTAGTACATAAACTTTCAATTTTTTTAAAATCATAATTTAATTTTTGTTTAATTTTAGTACCCTTGTTAAAAAACTTAATGCATTTAGTACCTAAACTATTAATTTTGATCCATTTTAGTATCTAAACTTTCAATTTTTTTCAAAACTTAACATTGGATTTTGAACGAGGATACTAAAATGAAACACAAATTAAAGTTTTTAACAATGAGATATTAAAATGAAACAAAAACTAAACTTTAGGTATATTTTTTAAAAAAATTAAAAGTTTAGATACTAAAATAGACCAAAAGTATTAATTGAGATATTAAACACTTAATTTACCCAAAAAATAATTACATAGACATCTCCATACTGTTCTCCTATAATGATCGCCTAACTGTAGGACATTGTTTTATTGAGTCTCATGACTATTAAAAGTTACAAAATAGTCTAACAATTATAAAATATTGTTTTGTTGAGTGCTCCAATTATTAAAAGTTATAAAATAGTCATCCAATTGTTCATAGGAGTTTGTTTGTAGTTTTCATTAAAAATTTGATGGTCGTTTAAGCTGGACGTTAACTTATTGACTGAGATATGATAAAATTATATTACAACGACATAATGTTTGAAGCACTACCTCGATGTTGTAATATAAACAAATATTTAATCCATAAAATACAGGTCAAACAGTTCTATAATCAAATTTTATCATATTTTAATGAATAAGTTAACGTCTAACTTCAACTGTTAATTTTTCAATAGAAAAAAGATGAATTTGAAACGTACGAATAGTTTAGTGACTATTATATAATTTTTAATAGTTAGGGAACTCAATAAAACAATATCTTATAATTAGAGATATATTTTTAATTTTTAATAGTAAAAAAAACTCAATAAAATAATAATAATATATAATGAAAGGATGATTTGTATACTTACCTAAATTTATGTGATTACTGTTGTAATAAAATTTCACTAAAAACTTAATTAGTATCTAATTCGACAAAGTTAATTTATTATATAAACTTGAATATAAACGAGGTTTGGTTATGCACCTGATTATTCTGAATATAAATACAAAGTAACGTAGTTGATAATAATGATATCAGAATATTACTACGGTAAATTACGTATTTAGTTCTTAAATTATTAGTTTTGATTTATTTTAGTATTTAAATTTTTAATTTTTTTAAATTATACCTAATAGTTAGTTTTCAATTTATTTTAGTATCCGTCGTTAAAAAAGTTAACGGATTGATAACTAAACTATCAGTTTTGGTCCATTTTAGTACCTAAATTTTTATTTTTATTTCAAACCTTAATGTTAAATTTTGAAAGGAGTACAAAAATGAAACAAAACTACAGTTTTTAACCGCGGGTAGTAAAATAAAACAAAAACTAAACTTTATGTACAATTTTGAAAAAAAATGAAACAAGAAATATATAATGGTTATAAAAATATTATTTTAATTGGAATCAAATAATGTTATAATATAGTAAATATTTACAATTAAATTTAAATAGAAACTCGAAAATTTGACTTGACTCGACTCGAATTTTATAAACTTAACTCGAAAAGATTTTAAGTCAACTCCGAGTTATAAAGTAAGACTCGCCAACTAGAATAACTTGGTATCATGGTTACAGGTGTGTTTGGACTCTCGTTACAGGTTTTTATTTGGTTTTTTATTTTACATGAATACATGATTTTTGTTTTCCCGATGCATGGTTCCTCTGTTCGTTTGTTCAAGACGGTTCATTGATTATTGCATAAAAGTGCCGAATAGGATTGCTGTTAAGAGAATATCGTCTTTTCCGTTGGTCATTTTGATTCTTCTTCAAGTTTCTCTCCTCCAAGTTTGATGCTTGGATTCGTTGGTGTGTTCAGTTTTTATACGTCGTTGCTTCACTTGTTAATGATTTTGTTTATATGCTATCTCTACGCGATCATTGTGATATGTTATTTCGATAGTCACGACTGCATTTATTCAGTCTGTATTTAGCAAGACATTTGTTGATTCGGCTTCGATAAATGAAATATACTGTTTATGTTCAAAAAAGCACATCTTTATATATTTAAAGATAATTATGATAACATTATTATCAATATTTCTTTTTAATTAAATCTCTATTTTATTTAATAAAAACATAATCATATATACATACCTGGTCAAGTATTTATTTTAAAAATCAGATTAAATTTCGGGTCAGATAATTTTTTTAAAATCCAGGGGAGAATTTGAAAACTCACCGTACATAATGGTTCCTATTTATTTACTTCTGAAATTCATTTGGCTTCTTAAAAGCTAAACTTGAACCAATTTGATTCATGCATTTAAAGGGGGAAATACTATTTTAAGTTATTTTCTCTAATTATATATAAATATTTATTTTTTATATTATACAAAATTAATTATAAAATAAATAAAAAATTAGAATTCGGTTCAAATGGTTAATTATCATTTATAGACAATAGGGGGTTCCAAAGTAACAGAAGGACCAAGTTTAATTACTCAGATTATATATATAAGATTAGATTATTATTCCATACATTAACGGTTGAGCCGTTTAACTTCGCAAACGGAATTAAAAAATCGCCGCATATTAAGAATACACGGCAATTTTTAATTCCGTTTGCGGAGTTGAAAGAACTTCGATCTCCGGTATATCCGATAATAATCCTTGTATATAGCTTTTGAATGTTGAATAAAGCAAGGCAAAGACAGTAAACCTAGATCTTGTTCACTGCAGAAGAGGGCATGCTCGTAGACATGCACTTCATATAACCATAAGAAACAAACAACAGCATGTTTAACGAAGATTAAAACAAAAAGTAAGTCCCGCCGGGAAAAGACTATCTACTAAATATTTTCAAAATCATACCTAAAATTCATTTTTTGTTTCATTTTAGTAATCGATGTTAAAACCTTTAGTTTTTGTTTTATTTTAGTATCCGTTCAAAATTTAACGTTAAGTTTTGAAAAAAAAATACAAATTTAGGTATTAAATCAGAAAAAAATTTGATAGTTTAGGTATTAAACGCGTTAAGCTTTTAACGTCGGGCACTAAAATGAGATGGAAATAAAATGTTAGGTATGATTTTAAAAACATTAAAAGTTTAGTTACTAAAATATATCAAAATTGATAGTTTAGATACCAAATGAGTAATTTACCCTTTTTAATATGTTAAAAAGGTTGATTTGTTACTTTTTTTTTTATTAAAAAAAGACCACTAAATTTTTATTATACCGTATGACATCACAATTTTCGTTAATCAAATCTAACAGTAAGAGATTAAAACAAAAACAAACCATATTTTAGTTATAATTTTCTTTTTAAAAATGAGGATCAAAATAGAAATATAAAAACATGGGTGTGACTAAACTATCTATATTATAAAAAAATGGGTAAATTACACCTTCAGTACTTATATTATCAATTTTTATTCGATTTAGTACATAAACTTTTAATTTTTATCAAAATCATATATAATGTTTTTGAATTTTTTTAATACCCGGTCTTTAAAAAAATTCATTTAATTTTAGTATCCCGTTAAATTTAACGTTAAGTTTTGATTTTAATTTTAAGTATTAAAATAGATCAAAACTGTTAATTTAAGTACTAAATATGTAATTCATCCTTTAAAAATTTATTTTACAATAAAGCCCATTCTTAACCACGGAAGAATCTGATCTCCATTTCGCTCCCAAAATATCCCCACTATATTTGTCTGAACTCTTGACTCCCTTGAGCCTTAAACCTCTAAATTTTCAACCAAAGAAGGTATGGCTTCCGCGAACATTTTCTCATAGGGATAACAGCACACCAACTGTTTGCTAAAATAATCAGCTGAACCCTTCTTCCTCCATCTTTCTGTTTTTAACAATCTTACCGAGTTGCTCAACCAAAGAGATAAACAGTTAAGCTCTCTAAATGGCGGAGAGGCTCGCTCTCCCTCTTCTCCTTCCAAGCCCCCCGCCTGTTAAACCCCCATTTTTATATCAAACCCACAACCAAAACCCGCCTTTACAACCCAATTCGCCTCCTTCGTCGGCTCCGCTCCTTCAAGACCTCCTTCGACACGACTCCAAGTCGCAGCAACCCATCGAGCCACAGGTCCAGACCCGGACCCGTCTCGGCCGCTCACGTGACCTCAACCGTGGGAAGCGTTGGACTCATAACAACCTCTGCGCTCAAGGTCAGCAGGCTCTCGACTCTTTAATCGACCCTTGTTTAGATCCCGATCGACTCGATGTTGTTTTAGCTAAGTTATTTGAGCAATACCAAGAGAACCCAGATGTTGGAACGGATTTTTTGACTTCCCAAGTACTGGGAATCGTTAAAGCTTTGGGGTTTTACAAGAAATCTGACTTGGCTTTGGGTGTTTTTAATTGGGTTAAGGCTAGAAAAGGCTGTGAGTTGGTCTTGAATAGTTCAATTGTTGCTGTTGTTATTAGTATGTTGGGGAAAGAGCGGAGGGTTTCTGTAGCAGCCAATTTGCTTAATTGTTTGCACAAAGAAGGGTTTAGTCTCGACGTTTATGCTTACACGTCGCTGATAACGGCGTACGCCGGTAGCGGGCGGTACCGGGAAGCGATGATGGTTTTTAAGAAAATGGAAGAAGAGGGCTGCAAACCTACTTTGATTACTTATAATGTGATTTTGAATGTGTATGGTAAAATGGGCTTGCCTTGGAGTAAGGTCATGTCTCTTTTCGATGGGATGAAGAGCGAAGGAGTTGCCCCGGATGCTTATACTTATAATACGCTCATAAGTTGCTGTCGTCGAGGGTCTTTGCACGAGGAAGCGGCTTTGGTTTTTGATGAGATGAAATCGGCTTGTTTTAGTCCAGATAATGTTACTTACAACGCTTTGTTGGACGTTTATGGGAAGTCTCGGCGACCTAAGGAAGCTATGGATGTTTTGAAAGAGATGGAGCATAATGGTTTTGCCCCAAGCATTGTGACTTATAATTCGTTGATTTCTGCTTATGCTAGGGATGGTCTGTTGGAGGAAGCGATGGACTTGAAAATGCAGATGGAGCGAAAAGGGATTAAGCCTGATGTTTTTACCTATACCACTTTTTTGTCGGGATTTGCGAAAGCCGGAAAAGACGAGTCCGCGATGATGATTTTCGAGGAGATGAGGAGTGCTGGCTGCAAGCCAAATATTTGTACTTTTAATGCTCTAATTAAGATGCATGGTAACCGGGGAAAGTTTACTGAGATGATGAAGATTTTTGATGAGATCAAGGCATGCAATGGTGCACCGGATATTGTCACTTGGAATACGCTACTGGCAGTGTTTGGGCAAAACAGAATGGATTCAGAAGTGTCGGGAGTATTCAAGGAGATGAAGAGGGCAGGGTTTGTACCCGAAAGGGACACGTTCAACACTTTAATCAGTGCATACAGTCGATGTGGTTCTTTCGATCAAGCCATGGATATTTATAAGAGAATGCTGGAAGCTGGAGTTACACCGGACCTTTCTACATATAATGCTGTTCTGGCTGCATTGGCACGGGGAGGACTTTGGAAGCAGGCAGAGAAAATACTGGCGGAAATGAGAGACGGTCGCTGTAAACCCAATGAGCTGACTTACTGTTCTTTGCTTCATGTTTATGCCAATGGGAAGCAGGTAGACCGGATGCACGCCCTTGCGGAAGAGATATACTCTGGTATCATTGAACCTCATGCCGTTCTCCTAAAGACTCTTGTTTTGGTTAATAGTAAATGCGACCTTCTCATGGACACGGAGCGTGCTTTCTCGGAATTGAGGAAGAAAGGATTTCCGCCCGACATAACTACGCTAAATGCCATGCTCTCGTTATATGGCAGGAGGCAGATGGTTTCGAAGACAAATGAGATCTTGAACTTCATGAATAAGAGCGGCTATAGTCCGAGCTTGACGACCTACAATAGTTTGATGTATATGTATAGCCGCTCTGAAAATTTCGAGGAATCAGAAAAAATCTTAAGGGAAGTTTTGGCCAAAGGAATTAAACCCGATATAATTTCGTTCAACACCGTTATCTATGCCTATTGTAGAAACGGTCGAATGAAAGAGGCTTCACGGATATTTTCTGAAATGTGCGATTCTGGCCTCGTCCCGGATGTGATCACTTATAATACCTTTGTCGCAAGTTATGCAGCTGATTCCATGTTTGAGGAGGCCATCGATGTTGTCCGATTCATGATTAAGCATGGCTGTAAACGAAACCAGAATACATACAACTCCATAGTCGATGGATATTGTAAACTTAATCGTCGGGATGAGGCGAGGACGTTTATCCGCAGCCTTCCGAAGCTAGATCCGCATATTTCCAAGGACGAGGAAATTAGATTATCGGACCGTATCATGGAAAAATGGTCATAGAAGGTTGTCTTCCGTAAAGAAAACCAAATCTCCGCTGTGTTACCAATGTTCGTCGTGTTCATTGATTCGAGTACGGAGACTAAGAAGAAATGAGATCATGTTTTGCATGATTCCTACCGTCTTTAGCTATTCGAATGCCTAGAGCTGTATATAGCTATGCATGTGGTGGGGGAACTCTGTAGTATATAGCTGATGAAACAAGAACTGAGAACGGTGAAGGTATGTATAATTGTTTTTGGGTAAACTACGCATTTAGTATTTAAACTATCAGTTTTGATCCGTTTTAATACTTAAATTTTTAATTTTTTTAAAATTATATCTAACATTTAATTTTTGTTTTATTTTAGTACTTGTCATTAAAAATTTAATGCGTTTTAGTACCTAATTTTTTTTCAAAATTATCAGTTTTGATCCGTTTTAGTACTTAATTTTTTTAAAAAAATTTAATGTTAAAATTTGAATTGGGTACTACAATGAAATACCGTCAATTTTTTTAACAGAAAATGATGAGTTTGGAACATGAAGAATAGTTAGGTTATCATTTTATAGCTTTTAATAGTCGAGGGACTCAGCAAAATAACACTCTAATAAGATTAGCAATATTACACAATTGAATTAATTTTTCAATTTTCGTAAGCATGAGGATCAAATCATAATAAATTGAGGTACACTGATCAACTTCTCAATTTTCATAAAATTAAGGAACAAAGTTTGTAATTAAAGCAAAATATAAATTCAACAGTGAACAATAAAAAAATAAAGCAATGGTGTTTCATTTGCCTTCCATTCATGTGGGGTGCATCCATATAAAAGGACAAGATAAACGATGATCGGATCAAGTAGAACTTCACCGGTAAACACCCACGCCCGCCAGAATCCTGCCATCGCCAGCCCTTCATCGACTTAAAAGTACCTTTAGATCCAATCCCACGTATCATTTGGTGTCTATACATGAAGAAACTTGCAAGAAAAGTTAGTGTGCTAAACCTATATAACTTGGTCTGTAATCAAGAAATTGTTTTAAGCAACTCTTCTTCGTCTCCTTCATCCGCATTGTACGAGTAGATATCGATCGGTGCTGTCGTGCACACCCTGGCATTGTGTTTAACCTTATTATCCAACGAGCCTCGGTGTTGATCAAGATAAATAACAATCACGGTTATATCGTCGTGGAAGTGGTGTCTTATTCCCTTTTCGATTCTCTTAATATCACTGTATCTCATCTCTCTTTTCCTCGTGACTTCTTGAAGCGCAGCTCTTACTAATCTCTTAGCGATACCCTTCGAGTAATTTCAAGCAAAGTCGAAATCAATACCAGAATGCTACGGAGTACGTACTTTTTTCATTAACTGATAAGACGAACAAGAAAATACTCACAGCTCGGGGGGTTTTGAACATGATGTTGACTGCAGTTTCATCACTCAACTGCTCCCATAGGCCATCCGATGCGAAGATCAGAAATCGGTCTTGTGGCTTGAGCTTTCTAATAAGGATGGAGGGTTCTGCTGTAATAACTGGTCTTTTGAGGGGAACAGGGTTTCCAAATTGTTGAAAGATGGATCTCTATAGAAATCGGGCTTCTTCAAGTAAACATCACCAATGGACCTTGACACCTGAAGAAAACGAGACGAACACGGAAAATCAGCGCTTAACCGACACGATTGTTACAATCTTAATCTAGATTAAGATTGAAACCAATGCTGAAGTTACATGAGCTTAGCATTATGGTTCAATGGCCTACATTTTCCCAACTTCATGCATACAAGGCATACAAGCAATGCCTGGAAAGAAATATGTGTATGCAAATCGAATTCATCGAACCGAAAAATGAACCAACCTACACACAGAAAATCAACGCATAGAACCGACATGATTGTTACAATCTTAATCTAGATTAAAATCAAAACCAATGCTAGAGTTACATAAGCTTATCACTATGGTTCAAGGGCCTGCATTTGCCTAATTTCATTCTTACAAGGCATACAAGCAATGCCTGGATTAAGATTATGTGTATGCAAATTGAATTCATCAAACCGAAAAACGAACCAGCCTAAACAATTACAATTGAGTTACCTATAGATTTGTTTTGTACCTGAATTATGCCCTTAATCCTCCAAACTCCGCGACTGTACACCACAACCTGAGAATCGTCCGGATGAAGTGCCTCGACTTCCTTCCTGACTTCCTCGACTCCGACATTGTGATCGGTCGACAGCCTCTCGGCCGCCACCTTATTCATCTTATCCTCCGAAACTCTCTTCCCAAGAACCGCTCTCGAGTCGCCGAGATTTGCCACATACAACACATCATCCGATATCGCACCGACAAGACAGCACGATCCAACCGAAGCAATTCGAGGCCTCACAGGCAACGATTGTTTCACCAAACGCAAAAACTCCTCTTCAGTAGCACTAAACGCCTTCTTTATCACGTCTGCAGATAATCCCCCTTGCTCTGCAGCAAATTCTACAATTAAGACAAACAAAATTAAGGGTAAGAACAGAGATTAAGACAAGATGATATCCGATGATTCCGACCCATTTCCCATAATCTAAAAAAATACCCAGAAAAATGGTGAAAGGAGCATAGAATAAATACTGTGGAGAAAAGGGAAGAGATGCTTGTTGACAAATCGGGAAGCTTCAGGGCCACCATGACCATCATAAACACCAACATAGGTACCAAAAGGGGATGTAAATACTTGGCTCTGATCTTCGAGGCTTTTATTCGCTTGAATGACGGCGATCGAGTAATCACCGGAAGCGTGGGGTTTAAGATCAGCATGCCACATGAGAGCATCCCCACCTGCCCTCAACCCAAGGCAACGCTCGAGCGGCCTAGCGAGCGATCGCAGCATCATCGTCATCGTTGGATTCTCTTGCTTTTTCTTCTTCTTCTATGGGATTGGGCTGTAAAGAGAGAGTCTTTCAGGGTTTGATCGCTTTGGGATTTTTCCTTTTTGGTTAGGTTAATGAATGGTTTAGAGAAATAAAGGCGAGAAGAAGAAGAAATGCCGCGTAGCGAGGAAGATGATAATACTGCTGTACTCTTGAGCGTTAAATTTTTTTTTTCTCTCTTCAAAATTTTGTTTTCAAAGCTTTCTCAAAGATGGTTTAATCACACAATCAATCCCTGTATTTTTCGAAAATTGTGAACTTTGAGCGTTCAATTCGGATTGTATTAATTCATGTGAGAATTTTTTTAGATTTATATATAATTGAAATGTTTTCATATATCTTGTCTTAGTTGTCATTAAATGTACATATATGATTTGATGTTTTTCGTTAATTTATTGTTTAAAATTTGTTGGTTTTTAGTAAACACATGATTTTTTTTAATTTGTTGCATAAATATGGTTAAATTGCTGATTTTTCAAAGTTTTGTCTAGAAAAGTGAGAAACTAAAACTTTGGTCCTTTTTTATATAACTTGAAGAAAAACAATTATTTGTAAAAACATGAACTTCAAAGTAGGAGAACTAACTCTTTAGTTTCCACATAGGGAGACAGGCCCTTTGTAAATAGAACTTAAATCCACTTTGATTAGTGATTAGGCTGTGGTTGTTATTTTTAAAGATTTTAAACTTAAACACATTGTTAATAGAAATATTTAAACGTTTATTATTAAATAATTATAAATCTTTCAAATCGATAGTTAAATAGTGGTTCTTTACCGCAATAACACTCGTTATATAATGGTAGTGGTGTCGTCCGATATCATTATTGTATGGCGCTACCGCGATAGCACTTGTTATATAGCAGTAGCGGTGTCGTCCGATATCATTATTACATGACCACGATATCCGCAATCACCAAAATAACACTCTTTATATCTAGAATCGTGATAAATGCAATGTAATTGAAAACGCGACTGCAATAGCAATTTAAATCCATGACAAATACTCGTGCAATTTAAATCGTGATAATGTTAGATTTTTTTAAAAAGAAAATTCATAATCAAATCGTGTTCGAGTGGAGGGTGAAAAAATCCAACATGAAGATAATAATATAATTTCCTTAAAAAACCTATTATTTTTTAATTAAATCATTATTTTATACCGAGATGTTTCAGGTCATGTCAAATTTATACTCTAAAACTTTGAGTCAGATTAAATTTATACTCCAAAAATTTGAATGAAATCAGAATCAGATGGAGGATATGTCTTTTTTGTGTTAGATCGAATCAGATAGAGAATATATAATTTTCAAGTGAGGTCAACTTTTGATAGATGATACATTTTCTCCGGGTCGGGTTAACCAAAAATCAAACCTGTTGCCATCCTTACCTAAATCCACCAATTTGTTTGTGCTTTTCCCTTCTAGGCAATTCCTAAACTCCATCGTTTTGCCCAACTTGTAATACTTTATTCGCATTTACTTCTTTTGTGGCCTTCCTTTTCTTGTCCGTGTTCTCCCCCCCCCCCCCTTCCCTTTACCTGCCATCTCTTAACCTCATCTCCCTTCCAAGTCTTCAAACACAATTTGATCCCCCAAAAAAACCCTTCTTTTTTTCATAACCATCCGCCATGGGAGGAGGAAATGGCCAAAAATCCAAGATGGCACGTGAGAAGAACATGGAAAAGCAAAAAGCTGCTGCGAAAGGTATACTCTAAAGTTCCCTCCTTTCTTCTTTTGGTTAAATCTTTCATTGATCTTTTTGGTTTTGTCTTGATAGGAAGCCAGCTCGAGTCCAACAAGAAGGCCATGTCCATTCAGGTAGTACCTTTGCATCATGCTCTTCTGTGTTTCATTTACCTGTTGGATTTAACACTTTCCTTGCTTGATCTGTTGTCGGGTATCGCGGTGGCATCCGGTGGATAATGGTGGCTGAGAGCAGTGCAAGGTTTGTATGCAGACATTCATGTGTACCACAACCGAGGTGAAGTGCCGGGAGCACGCCGAGAATAAGCATCCGAAATCCGATCTTTACGCTTGCTTCCCTCATCTTAAAAAGTAAGGCATCGAGAGAACCGGGACGTCGGCTTGTTGCAGACTTGCAGTGCATGATGCATCTATCTGTGTTGTATGTATCTCTTGGTAATCTGTAATTTAAGCTTCTTGAATTCTCTTTCACAAGCCTGTAAAAACAAAACAAAACAACAACTCAACTGGATGATTTCACTCGTGCAATCTTAATGCCGTGTTCGAATCATTTGCAGCTTTAGCTGCCTCTCTTGCTTGTCTGGTATAGCTTGCATTAGTTGTATTAGCTTCTAACTTCGAATTCTGAAACTACAGTTACGACGAATTCACCGAAATAGCATTCTTTGACTGAAATCAAGGAAAGACATGGATGACCGGGCGCGATTTTTACACACTTGAACTTACCGAGTACGCCTTTCATCTTGCTCGTGCAGTGGCCTTGTCTACCTATATATATAGCCTGCTAAAATAAAAAACGAACCTGGCATCTTGAACTTGAAGATCTGGTCTAAATGAATGGAAGTTTCTCCTTCTGTGTGAGCGCAATTAGTTTAAACGTAAAAGCAACAAAATTAATAGATGTATCGAGAATTCGAGATCGAAACCATTCATAAGGACTGCAATATCATAACAGTGGTCTATGATCAATCCACAAATAACGAAACATACGATTAAATTCACCTAGAAAAGTACTTGATTCTTTACAACTGACGATATGAAACCTTCGATTCAATCCCAAACTCGCCTATCTCTGAAAACCATACCAGATTCTACTGCTTGATGGCATATCCCGGGCCGGTGGTTTAATTTCCGTACCAGAAGATTCAACGAACCATAAAGGAGGGGTTTCGCCGAATTTCAGTATGTAAGCCGTCTCATGAACAGGTCGCAGCTGCTGAATCGATTGAACATCGAGATATGAATCGCAAGCGAAACACCAAACTGAAAGGTCACTGATTTCAGACAACCAAGAAAAACAAAAAGTTGCCCAAGAAAAGCTCACCTAAATTTCACAAGGAACTTCAAAAAGGAAAGCAATTATAACTACATACCTATAGCTGAGTGCTACACAATGGGTCGTCTGCTTATAATGCTCGAGCATATGCTTATTCACGAACCGGCTACAAAGCACAACCTTGCAGGACAAGCATAACCAATTCTCACTAGGGTGCTGGCACCTTGTTAAAATACTTTCTAAGATCATTTTTTTATTAATATAAGGTAAGTATAAGACGGTATTCCTGGTGTTCGAACTCATATTTCACATAATAACAACAATTCTTTTACTATTGAGGTCGTTCGGTTCGTGCAAAATGCTGTGAATAAATTAATTTAATTCCTAAGATTTGGAAAAGGAAGTCTATATAATCTTACCCCAACAATCTCCATTAAAGAATCATAAAATGCAAACCTCAAAGATGTTCTAGTAGATCAATTTGCTTAAAATACCGATAGTCCATCGATGAACTAGAAGATCAATTAAGTTCCAGTCAACAAAACCAATGCAATAGCTGCAAATATGTTTAGAAAAACTAAAATGTCTACCAACACATGTCGGTTAGAAGTAATTCGATTGAGTAGAATAAAAAATTTCAAATTAATCAAGTTGACAAGTATTACTTTATAACTCAAACTATTTTTGAAATGTCTATCGAGTTTATGAAGTTCAAGTGAGTTGAGTTGTTCTAATTTTTCTTTAAATTTAAGGGTAAACTATTATTTTAGTAACTAAATTATTAGTCTGTTTCAGTACCTAAACTTTTAATTTTTTCAAAACCATACCTAACATTTAGTTTTCATTTCATTTAAGTACCCTACCGTTAAAAACTTAATACGTTTAATACCTAAACTAATAATTTTGGTCCATTTTAGAACCTAAACTTTCAATTTTTTCAAAATTTAACGTTAAATTTTGAACGGACTACTAAAATGAAACAAAAACTAAAGCTTTTATCGGCAGATTACTAAAATGAAACAAAAATTAAATTTTAGGAATATTTTTTAAAAAATTAAAAATTTATGTATTAAAATAGACCAAAACTAAAATAGACCAAAACACCTAATAATTTAATTGTAAATATTTATAATGTTAATGTATTTCAATTTAAATGGTTTTCTATGACTATATATATATATATATATATATATATATATATATATATATTCATATTTGATATTTGAATGGCTTACCTCAACTAGAAAACAATCCACTAATTATTAAAATTGTCTTTATTTGAATACTATTTTATAACTAAAACTTTATCGGAATTTTTTTAATATAATTTATGAAATTATTAGTCTAAGTCAAGTGGAGTAAAAAAAAATTTAGCAAAAAGTCGAAAATCGATTTTCAAATCGAGTTCCCTCAAGCAAAAGTGTTGGGCTGGGAAAGCTATGTAGTGTTGAATCCGACTAGACTTCGAACATATTCGAGTCACATATGCTTCTGGACAAACTAGAATTGTCTATTTACCCCATTTTTCTATCAGTATTATCAATAGGATCAATCAAACAGTGGATGAAAAGGGGTCAAAATTAACCTGTTGCAAGGAGTGCTAGGGATTGGGATGTGAGTGAGATCGGAGGATAAAGAAGCCAAGTGATCACAGTGCGTTTTAGCTTCCACCCATCCTGATTCGGCGCCGTATTCGTTTTCTCCGAGATGGATTTCCTTAAAATCGCATATGAATAGAGAAGGTTTTGAAATCGGAAGGAACTAACGGGAAAATGAATACTCAAGATCTATCGATAGTGGAATAGATCGTAAGTCAAGAAAGAACAAATGTGTCGATAGATATTTCCAACTGAATCTGTATATCTAGAGATTAATCAGTGAGAAAATCAGTGATTACCATGTGAGAAGATGAAGAGTCAGTTTGGTTCGCCATGTAGACTGGCAGCAAAAGACGATGTATTTCCCTCGAAAGAGATGAGTGTTTTGGGGAACAACGCTCAAGTATCATCTTAAATAGTTTAAGGCTACCACTTTTTATGACGACGATGACTCGATTATATAATATTATTTTATTAAATTTTTTAGTTATTAAAAATTATAAAATCATTATAGTTATTTTGTTGATTTTTTTATTATTAAAAATTATAAAATGATTACTTAAATATTTATTATATTTCAAATTCATTATCTTTTATTAAAAAATTGATTTTATTTTAAGTTGAACATTAACCTGTTGAAATATGAAATGATAAAATATGATCCTAAAATCTCAAACGATTAGTATATCTCAGTCATCATGCTAACGTTTAACTTAGATAACTGTCAATCTTTTAACGAAAAAAATGACGACTTTAAAACATAATGAATAATCGGATGATCATTTTGTAACTTTTAATAGTTGAGAGACTTAACAACACAACATTATATTGTCCGATAATCATTTTATAATTTTTAAAATCGATAACTTAATTAAATAACACCCTATAATAGGATACTCTACTCTTTTTTAATTTAGTATCTAAATAACTTTTCGTTCGTTAAATTATGTGAGTAATATTTATTTTTATTCTTTTATTTAAACCAATATCTAATTAACTCGTGACAAAAAATTAACTAAAAAAATTGTAAAAATAATGATATATTATGTGTTTAGTATCCAAACTATCAATTTTAGTCCATTTTAATACTTAAGCTTTCAATTTTTTCAAAATCGTACATAACTTTAGTTTTTGTTTCGTTTTAGTACCTCACTGTTAAAACCTTAACGCTAACTAATGATTTTGCACGTGGTACCTTTTATGGGTAAATTACATCATTCATCACTCAACTATATTCTCACTATTATTTTGGTCATTAAAGCTTATGTTTTTTATATTTAATTATTTAACTTTCAAAATATTTCTAATTTAATCACTCTAACTCTCAAATGTATTTATTTTTAATTATATATTAATAAAAAAAATAAAAAAATGGCATGCCACAAAATTATTAATAAAACAAGTTATTATTATTTTTTGATTAATATGGGGAAAATACAAAGTAGTAGTTGTTCAAAGATACTCTCAACCATTTGACATTAAACACTCACACCCCTGACATTCCTGGTGCTCGAACTCGAAACCTGAAAGAATAACAACAATTCTTTTATCACTGAGGTCGCTTGATTTGTGTTAATAAAATAAATTAGAGTGATTAAAATAGGAGCAATTTGAAAGTTGAGTAGTTAAAATGAAATTTTTTAAACTTTAGTACCAAAATAGGAGTGAAAAGATGATTGAGTGATGAATGATGTAATTTACCCATAAAAAATATAATTCCATGAAATATTTAATGGCAAGGTATAAAATGAAACAAAAACTAAACATTGGTATAAATTTAAAAAAGTGAAATATTTAGATACTAAAATGAATTAAATTTGATAATTTATATATTAAACGCGTAATTTAACCTACAAATAAGCAAGATGAAATATCGATAACACGAACCCATAAGAAAAAACCAATTGGGCTACGGTCATATTAATTGAGCCTAAATAGGCCTTTACCCGCTAAATTAGAAAATTAGGGTTTATGCTCCGCTTATATATATCCCCCTCGTGTTCTTTCAGATCTAAACGCCGCCGTGAAATCTAGGTTTTCAAAGCTCAAGCGGAATAACGGCAACCGATCAGTGATGGGTCACTCTAACGTCTGGAACTCTCACCCCAAAACCTACGGCCCTGGCTCTCGCGCCTGGTACCTTCTTCTTATTCTTCTCAATTTCTTGATTGCTTTGAAAGAGAACAATCTAGTGCTTTTGTTTTGCTTTGATGATTGCTACGACTTAGGGTTCTTTTGTTTCGTTTTTGATAGCCGTGTTTGTGGAAACCCCCATGCCATCATCAGGAAATACGGTCTCATGTGTTGCAGGCAGTGCTTCCGTAGCAATGCCAAGGAAATTGGATTCATCAAGGTTATCTTCTGATGTTTAATGTCATCTCTTATTCTTCATAACTGTTCCTACAAACATTTTCTTAACCTTTTGGTTCTTCTTGTCTTTGTTGCAGTACCGTTGAATTTTGAAGAACTTCATAGTATGTGTTTTGGGATTTTGAAGAAATTCAAGATGTTTTTCTTGGGGATGGGCGGTTAATTTAATATGGACCCTAAATTGATTTTTGAACTAAGAGTACTTTATTGTCTCTCAATTAAGTAATCATAATGTTTTTAATTCAGTAATTTGTTTGTTGTTATGTTTGCGTGTTTTTTTGTGTTTGCCATGCAATGAAACTGTTGATGATTAGTATCTTGTGTGATCTCTCTGGTGATTATTAGCTCTTTGTGTATTCTTTAAATGGAATTAGATGTTGATTTATGTATATATTCATTTGAAATCATAGAAAGTATATAGTTCTGAAGCCTTATCATTACATTTGATCATGGCTTATAGTTGCTTTTTGATTAGTATGGTCCTTGGAGAAGGCCTTATTGGCATTGCATCAGAATCCTCTACCTTGATTTTGAAATCTGGAAAAACTATTACAAGTGATTAGTTTCTGTCGAAACTGTAGTCTCTTATGTAAGATTCCGATGCTTTAGGGCATTTGATTCGAGTTTGAATCATTGATGTTTCAGTTATTTCTCTTGCTAGGAAAAGCAAGTTCACTAGGGTTGTCAGTTTGTCTGCCTTAAAAACAAGGCTCTATGTATGATCGAGAATTTATTTTGCTCGTTGGTCTTTTTATTGCGGTTTTGTAAAATGTTTGTGATGTTTACATTGCCCTTGGTGTAGAGTTCAGCTTTTCAGGTTAATTTCCCTTGAACACTAGGCTATACGAGCCCTGGAATACGAACTATTATGCTGTGTTTAGACACGGGATTATTCTTATGCGAGCCGAGCTCTCGACATCATCCGGTAAGATGCTGCTCAACAAAGTTTTCTTTTATGATATGCAATGAGAGATGAGATTAAATTTCTTAGCTTGATGAGTTCACCAGCAACCCAAAGTACTTGCAATTGTATAGTGAGTCATTTTCATATTTGGTCATTTAATTTAGGGTAAACTACGCTTTTAATACCTAAACTATCAAGTCCGGTCCGTTTTAGTACATAGACTTTCATTTTTTTTTTCAAAACCATACTTAACGTGTAGTATTTGTTTCATTTTAATCTCGTCGTTAAAAAATTAACGCTTTTAGTACCAAAACCATCAGTTTTGATCTGTTTTAATACCTAAATTGATAGTTTAGGTATTGAACATATCGGTCTTTTTCACCAACTTTATTCATCAAGTTCCAACTCAGGGTGTTTGGTTTAGGCCTTTTTAAGTTACTTATGTTAAGTAATATGTTGGAATGAGATTCTCTCTTTTGGTTTGTGATATTATCTGATATTGTCAATGTTATATTACTAATAATAAACACTATTTGAGAATATATGGGTTTTTTTACTATCATTCCCACGACATAACATTCTTGGATAATTACGTTTGAAGTTTATCGCTTTAAGTGTATGTACGTATAACCGTGAAGATAATCATAATTAATACATCCAAGAACTATAATTATAAAGATATTTATAATCAATTAGAGTAACTTTTTAATTGTTCAGTTTTATATTGAATACCTTAGTTGGAGAACTAGTGATGACAATTTAACTCGAAATCAATGAATTTGAGTTGAGGGTGAATTTTTTTTTATCTGACATGGAGATAATAATATAATTTTTTTAAAAAAAAATTAAATCATTATTTATATTGGGTTGGATTGGATTTATACTTAAAATTTTGAGTCAAGTTGGATTCGTGTGGAAGATATATAATTTTTTGATTGGATCGAATTTAGTTGGAAGATACATATTTTTGAGTTGGGTTGGATTGAGAAAAATCCGGCCCGTTGCACGGAGGACTAGATAGAGTGGATGGTCGTGATAATGCGCATGTGAGGAGATCATCTGGGTAAGAACCATGCGTTAAAGAGAAGAAATATCAATTTCCCAGACGTTAAACATCAAATTTCACATATCTTAATCCATCTCAAAATACCTTAATAATTCAAGCCACCTTGGCGATTAAAAGAGATAATTATAAGTTTTAGAGGTTACCAGTTTTCTATCAACAATTATAGAGTATTTTGAGTATTTATCGTCAAATTATTGAGTTTTTAGTATATGTATTACCATTTGTAATTACCCTATAGATTAATAAAAAAAAATAGCTACATAATGCCAATTTATGTACCGTGTTTATGTGTTGTCTTCCTTTAGATGTGGTCCAAGGTTATAAAATCACCAATCACAATTCTAACTCTAATTTGTTTTTTATTTTTATTTTTGGGTAAACTATGTCGATAGTCCCTACAATTAGAGTTTAACCGACTTTAATCACTAATTTAAAAATTAAAGGGGAATGATTTCTAACGATATCGATCCGTTTGATTTTAGTCCCTTAACCGTTAACTCTCGTTCGATTTTAGTCCTTTAACCGTTAACTCCCGTTCGATTTTAGTCCCTCGGTCATGCTAAGGACTTAGACAAAAGGGACTCAAACAAAAGGGTTAACGAAAATTAATAATTGAATGACTAAAATTGAACGTATCGATAATGTTAGGGATTATTTTCTTTTAATTTTTAAATTGGTGACCAAAGTATTCTAAACATAGGGAAATATTTGCATGTTTCTTTAATGAATCTTAGATCCCGAGAAAGGTGTCAACCAAACTATGTTTTTTTCTTCAAAAAGAACAAGAAACATCATTTAGCGCATGCAAAAGGTAGAAGAAGAAGATGATGAGATATAATGACTTAGTGCCTTCCCCTTTCTTAACAACAACAACAATGACGACAAGGCTGAAGTCAGCTGATAGGTAGGGTTCTTAACCGCCTCTTAAGTCTAATCGTCTGTTAATTAGTTTAATCATCCATCTAATCCAAAACCCATCATCATTTTAAGGTAAACTAACTATTTAGTATCTAAACTATTAGTTTGATCCATTTTAGCATTTAAACTTTTTTTTTCAAAATCATATCTAAAATTTAGTTTTCGTTTCATTAGTATCCGTCGTTAAAAACTTTAGTTTTTTGTTTTATTTCAGTGTCCCGTTTAAAATTTAATGTTAAGTTTTGAAAAAAATTAAAAATTTAGGTATCAGAATGGACCAAAATTGACAGTTTATTTATTAAAAAAGATCAAAATGTTTAGTTAAGGTACTAAAAGCGTTAAAATTTTAACGGCGGATATTAAAATGAAATGAAAACTAAACATTATGTATGATTTTTAAATAAAATGAAAGTTTATGTACTAAAACATATCAAAATCGATAATTTAAGTATTAAATGTGTACTTTATCCATCGTTTTATGTTTCTTCTTTGAATTTATAATTTTCGAGTTTTACTAGTAAAACAATGTTATATAAAAAAATGGCATTGACGTAAGCCTTGCAACCAAATAAGGAGTTGTTTTTAGACACATGGATCATATTATTAATAAAAAATATTAAAAAAATGACTTTTCATATGGGTTAAGCATCCTTTGCTTTTGGGTCATTTTGGAATGATTATAAGTGTAAAACGATCATATATGCGACCCACCACCTTTCCAATATACTTTCTTATAGTTGACTAATATTATAAGTTATAATTTACTTTTCACTATCTTGTACTATGGTCAGTAAATTAACGTCAAACTCAAATTGTCGTCATTTTTAACAAAGAAATGACGAGTTTAAAATACAATGAATGGTTGGGTGACTATTTTATAAATTTTAATAGTCAGATGACTTAAAAAATAATATATTATAATCAGATGATCATTTTGTAACTTTTAATAGTCGGATAACTCAATAAAACAACACCCTATAGTCAAGGACCATTTATGTACTCTACCCAAAAATTTAAATATTGAAAACAAAGAATAATTAGGGATTGAGATGGATGAGAAGAGACATTGCATCTTATATTAAACTAATTAACAAACGGATTTAACTTTGCTTGCAATAATCACAATACATTCTTTTGTCTTGTATATATATATATATATATATATATATATTCATTGCATTTTTCCCATTTGCTATCGCCAACGTCTTAGCTGCTTACAAGCTATTTTCATGGAGGTTAGTTCCTCCATGTCTCTCCCATTTACTTAATTATAACATCAATGCATAGATTTATTCGAACTTACACGAACCAAACGACCTCAGTAGTTAAATACAATGAGGGAGCGAGAGGGGTAGTCGTCCTCCCTGAAATTTTAAAACAACTATATATTTTAGATTTTTTTATGTACTTTATACTGAAAATTTGTTTTCACCTCCTTGAAATTTTACAAATTCACTCATTCCTAAAATTTTAGAGGTTCGCTCCCTTAATATAAAATATCGTGTCTGTCTCCCTAATGGATCTCGGGTCGAGCACCAGCGACGGTAAGGTATTTGATCATTTACTATGAAATAATTAAGAGTCGTTATAACATATACTACCACTCATAATCACCCCAAATTAATGTAAAAAATATTCAAAATTCGAACTTCAATACCATCAATCGATTGATTTTGAGATGAAGATTGCCCCCAATCCCATAATAGACCTATGTAGTATCTAATTTGAACTAAGTAATTAATAAATCAAATAATGGTAGTTATATTTAAAATTTGCACTCCAATATTTATAATCTTTTTCACATATCAAAATATTACCTATATAAATAAATGTATAGATGAAGGGCCAATTTTGTTATTGACCCAAAAATAATGTAATACTGAAAGGTCATATTCATATAAGATATTAAATTATCATTCAATTCTCGTGAGAGGACTTGTACAAAAAAGGAGTAAGGGAATGAATGCATCATTGGCATTCATACTTACAATAAATAAGAAATTAATTTATAGTTTGTAATATCATAATTTATCTTTAAAATTTTCCAGATTTTTATAATGAGTTCCTCTTTGATTTGGATAGTAATATGAATTCTTTTAATATAATTACGAGGGTAAATGATGCATTTAGTACATAAATTATCAGTTTTGGCCCGTTTTAATACCTAAACTTTCAATTTTTTCAAAATCATACCTAACTTTCATTTTTCATTTTATTTTAGTACTCGTCGTTAAAAACTTAACGCGTTTAGTACAGGTCTATTTTAGTACATAAACTTTCAAAAAAAAAAATCAAAACTTAACGTTAATTTTTGAACAGGGTACTAAAATGAAAAAAAAAACTAAAGTATTTAACGGCGAGATACTAAAAGGAAATAAAAACTAAACTTTAGGTATATTTTTGAAAAAATAAAAAATTAGACACTAAAATGGATCAAAACTAATAGTTTAGGTACTAAACATGTAATATTCCCTAATTATTAATATTTGATACATAATCAGTTAGTTCAAATAAAATATAAATTAGGGTAAATTACACGTTTATACCTAAACTATTAATTTTGGTCCATTTTAGTACCTACACTTTCATTTTTTTCAAAATCATACCTAAAGTTTAGTTTTTGTTTCATTTTAGTACCCCGTTCAAAAATTAACATGAACTTTTGATTTTTTTTGAAAGTTTAGGTACTAAAACGGATCAAAATTGATAATTTAGGTACTAAACACATTAAGTTTTGAATGACCCAATATTTAAATAAAACAAAAATTAAGCTTCAGGTATGGTTTTGAAAAAATTAAAAGTTTAAATACTAAAACGGACTAAAACTGATAGTTTAACTACTAAGTATGTAGTTTACCCAAAAATTATTGTGGGGCTAACATATATGAATATGAATTGGTTTATAACATTTACCTATATTAAAAAATTGTAGTATTTTTTATGCTTATAAATCAATAAGTCTTCAGTGTTATAGCCACCAACCCAATATTACTTAATTTCGCATCAATAAAAGGTTGCTTTCAAGTTTTCAGAATGACAGTTAGCCTGAAATAGTTTGAATTTGATATTTGAAAACTTTAAAAATTATTCAAAAATTTCATTAATTTTATTTATAGATAAATCAAGATTTTTCTTTTAATATAAGATGATAATAAAAAAAATTTATTTAATTTTTAATATAGTGATAAAACATATAAAACTGTTTGAATTTTAAAAAATATATCACTGATAACATAAAATTAATACATTAAGAATATGATGATTTGAAGCTATATGTCAATTAAGATATATTTAGACTATTAGTTTAATTAAATCATTACACGAATGAAGTAGTCTCCGTGTTAAATGAATTGTTGTTATTTTTTGAGTACTCGGATTCGAGCATCGTAGATACCAAGATTGTGAGCGTTTAATATCAAAAAATTAAGAGTTATCTTTAAACAAATATTGCTTCGTACTTGCCCAGGATTAGTTAAAAATAAGTATATCATCGAATGCAACATCAAAATAGCTAATTATAATACTTACTAGGATAAATTACACGTTTAATATTTAAATTAGTATTTAAATTATCATATTCAGTCTATTTTAATTCCTAAACTTTTATTTTATTTTTCAAAATCATATTTAACGTATATTTTTTATTTCATTTTAATATTCTACCGTTAAAAACTTAACGAACATGATTACGACCTCTGTTTCATCAAAAAATGCCTAAATATCCCCCAAAACGATGATGGACTCTTCGAATTTCTTATCCTATAATCTCCATCGTCAACCGTCTGATGGGCCTGAAACTGAACTATGTTGGTCGACTCGCATTCTCTCGTGGTCCACCGTTCGAATTGGTCGCCCATCCACCTAAGATATGCCCCATCAGCCAATGCGTTAAGTTTTTAATGGTCGGATACTAAAATGAAACAAAAAAATAATTAAACATTAAATATGATATTTTTAAAAAAATGAAAATGGAGGTGCTAAAACATACCAAAAGTGACGTTTATGTACTAAATGAATAATTTATCCTACTTAATAAATAGGTAATTAAGGAAAAATATATGTTAATGTAATTAATATCTTTTCCACAATGTATTTCGCTATCATTTATACCATAAATATGTTAATTATAACTTTTTTTTTGGGTTCAAAGTGTTCATCATATGGCTGTTTAATTCATTAAAACTCAAAAACTATATGAATAATTAATTAACATATCGTCTTTCCAAAGGTTCATAAGAGCTCTCACATTACCTACTGTTTTCTTCGATGGCTCTGAAAACCAAGAAAAAATTACTATTTTTTCGTTGCTGTTGAAGTTAAGTGTATAAATTACATAAAATCTTGTTTGATTTCATGTTATTAGCCATGAAAACGAAGACCCATGGTTAGTAATTTGCAGAGATTTTCTTTCGAGGAAATGTAGAAGAGAAAGTTGAATCCTTTTTGCAGGCTCCGATGATGGTGGCGGTTGCATTTTCCCGTCCTCGAACTCCTTCAAAGATCACAGAATCAAGCACCGGTCATGAAGAAGAAGATCCGAATTCGACTGCGATTAAAGGGTCTCCTCTGAAAGACAATGGCTCCATTGTTAAAAAGAAACCCAGAGGTAGAGAGGTTCCTTCCCGGTATTTGTCTCCATCTCCGTCGCCATCTTCAGCGGCGGCAGCCAATATGACGGCGAGGTTCCCTTCACCTCTTGTTTCTCGTCCAACTAATATGGCGGCGGGGAACAAAACGACGACGATGTTTTCTTCTCCGCTTCCTAAACGGTCTCAATCCGTTGACCGTCGGCGGCCCGGCGTTCAAGTTTCGCAAGGGAACAGCTTTGATTTCAATGAATTGTCGGCTGCTTCCAAGATGCTAATCACTTCGACGAGGAGCTTATCGGTTTCGTTTCAAGGTGAGGCCTTTTCGCTTCCGGTTAGTAAGACGAAGCCACAAGTGGGTTCTAGTAGGAAAGCAACTCCCGAGAGGCGTAGAGCTACTCCCGGGAGGGATAGAGATCGTGGGGTGATGAACTCGAAACCCGCGGATCCGCACCGCTGGCCCGCGAGAACCGGGAAATCCAATTCGGGTTCGAATCCGATGTCGAGGAGTTTGGATTGTTTCGGTGAAAGTAACTTGCTCGGTGGATCTGGTGCAGTGCTGGTTAAGTCATTGCAGCAGTCATTGATGCTTGATGAGAGTAGTAGGAGGATATCTTTTGATGCAAATTGTGTAAATAAGACTTTTTGTGCCTCATGTGATCTATCTGCATCGGATACGGATAGCTTGTCGTCCGGTAGCACTAATTCCCGTAGTGTTCTTGCTTCGGCGAGGTTTTGGCAGGAAACTAATAGCCGGTTAAGACGGTTGCAGGATCCGGGTTCACCTTTGTCTATGAACTCGGGACCTAGAGTTGCTGCAATGTCCTCTCCGAGGACAATGGTTTCTCCTATTAGGGGAGGTACAAGGCCTGCTTCTCCTAGTAAGCTTTGGACATCTTCGACTTCCTCTCCTTTGAGAGGGTTAAGTCCAGCTCGGGTGAGAAGCGCGGTTGGTGGTCAGATGATTGGTAGCTCTGTTAATACCCCTTCGATTATTAGCTTTCCTGCTGATATTCGTAGAGGAAAAGTGGGGGAGGATCGAATTGTCGACGCACACACATTGAGGCTTCTTTATAACCATTACTTGCAATGGAGATTTGCAAATGCAAGGACGGAGGCGGTTTTCATGGCACAGGAACTCCGTGCTGAGGTACAGTTATCCTCCTCGTCCATCTTGTTGTGTTCCCTAGATGTTCAATGGTCTTGATCTGAGATATATGGTGAATGTTTCAATTTACTTCACCATAATAGTTTGTCAAACAAGCTGAACCCAACTAGTTTATGATGAAGATTACCTGTAGTGCAAGCAACAACCCAATTCTTGCGTAACGGTATCCTTTTCGATAACATCATGCAATATTGTCCAATATGATATTATATAAATATTGCTAAATTCATGTGCTATGACGTCGTATAAGTACTGATACAGTAATGAGAATCACGTTTGGGAAAGTTGAGCGGCAGGGTTTTGATATATGTAATGAACATGAATGTCTAGGTTTTCGTTTATCTAGAGGTTGATGCAATAGTCAGTTTGACAATAAAAAGGGACCTAGTCGGGTAAAAAAGTTTGCTAGTTTAGGCTTAACATGATGCTCTCTAATAAGTTCGGCATTTTCATGGCGAATGTTCGTTTTTTGTTGTAACAGAAAGATCTGTGGAATGCATGGGTAACTACATCAGAACTGCAGTATTCTGTCACTCTCAAGAGAATCAAATTGCTATTACTGAGGCAAAAATTGAAATTGACTTCCATCCTGAAGGGACAAGTAAGATTCGAAACTTTATTTTCGTATAGTATTTAATCGAATATGTTCATATTTTTACCTAGTAGTAGTTACCGAATATCGGTTGGTTCCATCCACACTTCTTAAGCATGAATTTTCTGTTATTCACGACTAGAACGTGTTATGATTGATGAGTGTAGATATCTCGTTTAGAAGCATGGGCCCTCCTCGATGGAGACCACACCAGTTCTTTGCTAGGAGCAACTGAAGCTTTAAGGGCCAGTACACTGCGTCTTCCGATTGTTGGAAAAGCAGTAGTGAGTTTCGTCTATTTTTCTCGTTTTCCCGGCTTTTCAACATACAATCTATTAATGTCCAATGATTTCGCTCGCGGGTATCAGTTTGTCTAAAATGGTGCTCTTGTTTCGCCTCCCATTTTCCGTTTTCTATCTTAATAGGTAGATATCCAGGACCTGAAGGATGCTATCAGCTCAGCAGTCTATGTGATGCACGCAATGGCATCCTCGATATGCCCACTATCATCAAAGGTAAATTTCATTAATAAAATCTCGTCGAATAGCGATACCAGAAAAAACAAGGCCAAATTAAGAGTATCATTTGTCCTTTGCAGGTGAAGGAGATGAATTCTTTGGTTACCGAGCTTGCGAGTGTAGCCGGAAACGAAAGGGTTCTACTCGAAGAATGTAAAGATCATCTATCCCTGTTAGCTGCCATTCAGGTAAAATACTGGCATTTATGTTTTATGTTTCAAGCTGTTCTCCAATTCATCTACGCCTGTTTCTTATTCATTAAGGACTGTTATTTTCGCTTAGGTTTACAACTGTAGCTTGAGGTTGCATATACTACAACTAAACCGTGTTCCCACCACCGGCCGCCGGACAATACACGCCTAGAACTGATCTTTATTCGACTACTCACCCTTAGTGCTAACAAACATTACCACCCGAGCTCATGTTTTTTCGATGGGTGAAGGCGGTAAGCCTGTACTGGACAAATTACGAGTGGATCAAACGCATTCGGCTTCTCGTTTTAGTAAGCTTTTTGCATCCAGTTGTTTTCATCTATGGTCACACATGTAATTCTTTATATCTGAAGATAAAGGAAGCATCATATATATATATATATATATATGTATGTATGTATGTAATGTTCATCTGATAAACAAATTATCATTGTATTTCTTGGCCTGCTTTGATTAATCATGTATGTATGATGTTGATGCTTGTTCGATCTTAAACACAGTCCCCATTTCCATTTTTGTACTTGCTAGAGATATCTGTTCAATATACCAAAAGGAGTAACTTGGGCTTTATTTGAAAATAATACTTCTTCAAATTACTTTTTTCAATGAAATTTAATTACGTTTCAAACGTAATTTTTGGTTGAAAATGAATTATTAGAAAATATTTTTATATTTTAAACAAAATTTTAGGCCAAAAACATTTTTATAAGCATTCCTATACAGTTCCTAAATGACAAGTTCCTAAATGACAAATGTATATGTTTAATGTCAAAAGTTTGAGAGTTTTCTTTAAACAAATAATACCTTATACTTACTCATAGATTAATAAAAAAATAATGTAATGGTTTGAAAAAAATAGATGACACATAAGGTTAAGAAAAATATTTTTTTAACTAGAGTGGAATGAATAATGCATAAGAGAAGACAATCTGACTACCGAATTATCAATGAAATTTTAGTCTTATTAGATATCTAATTATCACTTGTAATAAGGGATGAGCACGAGATCAAAATTCGACGAATTTCAATTTGATCAAATCATATCAGGTAGGATTTAAAAAAACATTTAAGTTTGGGTTGAATTTTTTACATATTATGTTTGGTTCGAGTTGTAGAGTTTATGATGAAAAATATCTAACCTGACCCTACCCAAAAAAATATATAAATTTACCATATATATTTAGACATAATTACAATAAAATCCCTATATATATATATATATTATTTCAATTAAATCTCTATTTTTATTGAAAAATAATTTTTTTTATAAATATATTATTTTGGGGTTGGGTTCGGATTTTATTCAAAAAAAAATACAGGTTAGGTGGAGGGTATATAATTTTCGAGTCGAGTGGAGAGTATAATTTTCGGGTCGGATCTAATTGACCAAAACCCAACTCACGCACATTCCTACTTGTAACCTAAACATGAAACACGAAGTTTGTTTAGACAATTTTTATTAGTTCATATACTATACATAAATCATATATTTTGACTAAACATGAACCATGAAATTTGTTTAGACAAAATTTTATTTGTTCATATATATATTTATTATAGACTGAAGTTCTAAAATTTAAAATGTATAATAATTAAATTAGATCAAACTAAAATTTAGATATTTAATCTGTAACAGACAAATGACGAGTGATCTTTTCCAAAGGACACCTCACATACCTGAATACATTATTCTAACCGAATCATATACCATTTTAGATTCCAAGTACTACAGACATTTGGAAACAATGCTCACTTGACATTTTTCAACAGAAAGTGGAAAAAACAGTATTAGAGCGTAGTTTGAACAAATTCACAAGGTTAAAAAATACACTAGCCTATGATTATATATATATATATATATATATATGTTCAGTTTTATAGTTCAGACCATCCACTAAACCATCACAAAGTGCAACATTTTCACACATCTTGACTCTCAGAGAAGATACAAAGACTCTTAATAATCTACGCAGGAGGGTTGGGATATACCTTTGGTTTTGGCTTGACTTCAATTTCATTTACGCTACGTACAAAGATGGCATCCGGTTCATGCCTGCATGAAGAAAGGATCCGAAGTTAGAGCTCGAGTATTCCACGGATACAGTACACGTTTCTTTGAGTAGGAGAAAGACAGAATAAGAGAAGTTGGGAGGAATCTTACAGCATATCCCCCTCTTCGAATGTGTAACTCGAGGCCACGGCCAATAGTCGACCGTCTCTGCTGAATGAAAGAGCGGCAATGCTTGTAGGGTACTTTGAGTACTGCAAAAGAGCATCAACAGTGACAGTAAATTATTAGGGTTTTATTTTACTGTAAAATGAAATAGCATTTCAATCCAAATTTTTTTTACCTGATACAGCCTCTTCTTATTGTTTCCATCCCACACATTAACGAAACCATCACAACCTCCGGTTGCAAACGTACCATATCTGCAGGATTGAAAGCAGTAGATTAGCAATGATTTGAGTATGTTCAAGATCTTGAGCAACAAAATGCAACCTAAAGTCTTACTAGAAGTTCAAAGTTTGCAAATTACTTATTTTCTCAGTAACAGTTTAATCAAACAATAGAAAAAGTTTCCAACATGAGTATATAATGTTCTAATTACAATTTACAAATTGTTATTTGTCCATGCCTGAAACTCATACACAAAAGCCAGACGCTCTGAATGGCAATGCTAAATTGTGATCAATGGCCTACGTACTACGTCATACAGTTAAAATATCCAGCTGAACGGATGCTATTAAGGTCTTCAGCCTCGTTAGTTTATCATAAACAGCTGAAGAGTTGTCCTGAAACTTACACTGGATGGAATGCTATGGCATTTACTGGATACACAATGTCACGGCCAGCCTCAGATTTTCGATGGCACTTGAAGGCATACCTATAACATATCAATTGATAAAAGCAAACAGATACATGAAAAACAAGATCAGATCAAGAACAGTTACCACAGGTTATAATATTTGGCATGCTGGAATATATATCATAATATAGTGCTAGAACAAAAAGATTAATACGCACTTTTTGGCTTGACTGGCCTCCAAGAGATCAAAGAACTCCATTGCAACTCGTCCTTCAACCGAACTAAGAGCATATCCTGTATAAATTTGTTTAATGAGAAGCTTTTTTATCCAAAAGAATGATGAATGAAGATATGGATCAGAGATCTAAAATCATGTATTATTACTTTAAATGTATGAATAATATGAGCCTTTTCTTGATGAGTATTTTCTTTCCCTGTAAAAGTTTACGAGATTTTTAGGCTTTTAAAACGTTACCTGTTCCATTTGGATAACATCTCACACATCTAGTTTGATATTTCAATGAAGATTCCCTTTTCTGTTCAGGTTGAGACATATTTCGTAAGTCATAAACATTTACATGTCTTCCGGCAGTTGCCACAACTACTCGATTTCCAACTAGAGATAACGAGTAAACGCGCTCAGGTTGTTGGTATGTGCCAACAAGAGTGCGCTCCTGCCCACTTGCACCTCTTGGATCCCAGCATTTCAATGTCTTATCCCAACTGCCTGTGATCACTTGTCCTATAAGAACAGATCAAACACTGAGGATTCAAACATTTTCTTACATAAAACAAAAAGCTCATGCTCAACACTGTGTGATGTAGATTCAGTAAGGTTTCAGTGAAACTTGTGACAATGGAATCAGCAAGCATCTTTTCTAAAAACGCTTTCCATCATATCAGTTCATTTTTTTATTCAGTTAAATCAAAGGTGAATTAATCAATCATCCGTTCAAAAAGAAATTGAAACTCAGAGTCTTACTCTACAAGCAGGTAGAGATAATCTCACTTTGAAAGGCAACATCAAAGAAAAATCATCCTGAACTCATCTTTAAAAAGCCGACAAATTAAGTCAACGGAGATGATTTGCAAATTCTAACCAACCTGCTGCGTAAGAATACTCTATACAACGCACAGGAGCATCATGTCTACCTAATACATCCTCCTTTCCATGGCTGAACATTATCCTACAAAATTAAAAGCTCGAAATTAATCTTGATTCTAAATTCATCTCTCCTAAGCTTTCTTGAGAATCAACCAGAAAAATTAACTTACCTCCTAACTTTATTATCGGCACTGGCACTGAACCCGGATGAATCATCGTGGAAGCAGCAATCAAGTACCGGTCCACCGTGCATGAACTCTCCTCGCAAAATGTTCGCGCTCGCATCATACAATCTCACAGACTACGATTAAAAAAGAAAGAAAGAAATAAATAAAACACTGCTCACTGAAAAACTTAAAATTTTAAAAGACATTTGATATTTGAAACAGCACCTTATCCCAAGAGGAGACGAGTAGATTATCACTGTGATTGGAGAACCGAAGGTTCGAGATCCCGTCCGTCGGAGGATTAGCGAGCTCCCGTCCCGGTACCGGCAGCGGATGGACAGATGTCATCGCTTGATTGGCTCTTAGAGTGATTAGAGGACTAACGGAGAAATATCTTAGGGTTTTTGAGAGAGCGATAAAAAGAGAGGGAAGGAGATTTGAAATTCTAGAAACGGTATTCGGTTTTGTTTCAAATTATGGCGATAACCTGAATAAATAAACAAACGAAAACACTTTCTGAATTCAAAATCAGTTGGTAGTTCTCTTTCTCTCTACCCAAAAAGCCCTTTCTCTAGCTCAATTGTTTGGTCCGTTTTAGTATTCAAAAATAACCACACAAAGATCATTCATCAAATTTTCATAATTAGAATAGGACTAAACATGTAATTAGACCATTCATCCGAGGAAACCGATTGATTAGGTCGTTTTATTGTATGTAAATTCGTTTGAGATTTATTCTGATTTAAATCTTATCGTATGTGAATTTTATCCGCATATATTTTGATTCCGATTCCGAGACATAAGTTTATACAAAGAACAAATAACCATTTATTGTTCCATTTTACATATCAATGATATGCATGCTTCAAATCCAAATGAATAAATATGGAACAAGAAACCACACCACAACAATGGAGTTTATGTCCTGTCCGTCTTCATGCTTGGTCGCTCACGTGATTCGGAACTTCGCCTTGACTGTCTAGAGGCATGTATTGTGCCATTATAGCCCGAATTTCCGTATTCATGTACAACTGCAAAAGTAATAAAACACATGCCATCAGGGGGAATCCGGTTGAGGATGCCGATCGCAATGCCTCGGTTCCGAGTACCGGAATCCAAGCCGAGCCAATAAAGCGCTAAATTAGTCCGTATTTGTATATGAGATAAGGCCCGCCACCGGGAATCCCCAAGCCGATTACAATGACCCAAATGGCAGCCCATTATGCTCTTACTTCGGCACCGGCCTTACTTGAGACAATGCAAGGAGTTGATATAAAAACACTAGAGGTACAAATCCTAGATCCACAACTCACCTATGCAGGCACCGCGGTCCCGATCCCGGATATACAAACGATCTCCGTTGCATGTGCACTTGTAAGTTCCCCAAGTGTTTTGGCAGCGACATTCAGGGCAGTGGCAAAGTTTCTCTCTTTGCATTCATCGATATCAGCATGAAGTTCAAGTAATTTTCTTCACCTCTAAGATTAAACTCGAGCGAGTTCGAGTTCCTAATCACGGCATGGAACATAAGTTTGTTCATTCGGGACTCACCTTCGCAGGTTTTGATACCATCACCTTTAAACCCTGGAGGACACTCACATTTATTGTTCCCATCATCCTGTATACGCAGCCTTGATTAGTACATAAACTTGTTAAAACCGGGCAGAGCTTAGGAATGTCGGTACTAACCGAACAAGCCATGTAAGTAATTCCGTCTCGAGATTCATGACGGCAACCTCCATTATTAATTCTGCACCTTCCAGTGCCACAAGCTGATTGGCAAAAACAGAAACAGGTGAGAAATGCCTTGTCACGCAAGAAACACGAATTGACTCATCATACATAAGCAAACACGATAAAAAAATCAATGGGGCGCTGCACCTTTGCAATGACGGTAACCGTCTCCGCTAAATCGGACACCATCAACGAAGGGACACTCGCAGACTCTCCCACGGAATGTATCCTGAGAGGGTTAACATATTCAGAAAGCAAGCCGACAACCCTCTAATCAGGAAATTCTCCGATTTCATACCCTGCAGGCTGTGAGATTGGCTGCTTTATCTTGCCAACAACCGCCATTGTTCTCCAAGCATTCATTCGTCTCCACATCTGCCACACAAGCAGCCACGATCAATCCCAGCTAGATCGACGTTCGCTCTAACAACAAAGTACGACAGAAAAACTCACCACTGCTCAAACAAACGGACGGCTCGGTCGTCTCCTTGAAACCGGCACAGATGGCCTTCATAACGGCAACTTTGGCAAGCTTTCCTGTATGCAAAAAATATCAGAAATGAAGACATCAAAGTGAAACAGAGGCATCATCGACACGAACCTCGATATTGGTGATCGTTAACGACGATGGTCGGCAATATGGTAACATCTCCCCTAGGTCCTTTCCACACCTATACAGAATTAAGTGATCATAAAGGATCAAAGATGAAAATACCGCAACATAACTAAGCAATGCGGGAATTACTTGAGCATCTTGTTCTTTCAGAACAGGATTATCTGCATCCACATTAGGATCTCCCATACATTGTTCAATCTGTTTAACATAGAGGCCAAGAGCTCTGATAACATCATCTGCACATTCCTTGTTGTGTCCTTTCGCCTTCATGGGGCATCGGATTTGAAAATCGGTCACATAATCCCACCACATCCAAGGCTTACCGGTCCTGTTCGCAACTCTGTAAACGCATAGCTGCCCTAAATTCTCGATAACGAAGTCCTTCCCCTCGTATCCGGTCGTAAAATCTTGTTCGGGATCTGGTGCACAGTACCTTCCATAGTTGATGCACTGGGATTTACACCGCAAGCTCATGGTGAAGGCCTGAGGACAGTACCAAGTTATGTTATGTGGCGTGAACTGTGTGTAGCCACCTTTTTCGAATATCTGTGCAGCACCCTTGAAATCCTTAACGAATTCCATTAGTAAGTCGCATTTAACGCCACATTCGTCGTTGCTGTTGGTCCAAAGCTTGTATTCGACACGATCTTTGGGATGAGGCACCGCCTCTCGCCAGTCGAGATTGACGTTGACGATGTCGCCGCCGTTGATCGTTTTCTTTAGAGTTTTGCTGAAGCTTTAGTCGACGAGAGCCGACGGGATCGCTATGTTCTCGATGTATTTGGCCGACGATCGATCCTCTTCGAGCGTGTTCATGGTGATCAAACCTTCTGCAATTTCATCGGCGACGAGAACTGCATGAGCTCCGGCCTGCTGTGCGTTCCAAACCTTTATGGAAAAGAAACAATCTGGGAAAATAAAAACGAATCATAAACAGTAAAATTTAATGAAAATTTGAACTCAAATGTGAATAATAAGAAAAGGGTGTTCGTGTACCTCCACGATCGATCAGAACGAAAGTGGGAAGAGCACCGGGCTTCGATTTGAAGGAAATGCCGGACTCGCAGAAGCTTCGACAACCCTTCCGGTTCACCTTGGGGTAAACCACCACGCCGGCCAACGTTCCGCCGTATTGGGGTATCCCGAAGTTTCCGATTGCGCTGTCGTGGGTTCCTTTAATCTTTCCGGCGAAGTCACCCTCAAGCTGTTCTTTTCCACGACGAATATCGCGCAACAATTCATTAACAGAGACAACAAAACAATCCCATGAAGAAGAAGATGATGAAATTTCAGCAGCTTCATCTCTTGCTTTTTTTTTCTGGGATTTGCTTGAATTCAGATAGTGAAGGAGGAGGAACAAGATACTGTAAGGGGAAAAAACATGCGAGTAAATGAGTAGTTATATTTTCACTTATGGAATAGTTCAGTTTTTAGTCCTGAATTTAATAATCTTTTATCAATTTAACAAATTTTCATCGTCACAAGGATTAAACATGAAAAAAATATAAAATTTAAACATTACATTTGAGGACTAGATATTAATTTATCCTTATTATATAAACGATGTATCTAAACCTACCGCACCTATGAATATTAGGGTAAATTATATAAAACTTTAAAACTTGCATTTAATCCGAAACGATGTATCTGAACATTTCTGAAACATGCATTTAGGTCCCCCAGCTTTTAAAACTTTCAATACAGTCCCCAAACATTTAATCCGTTTGCAATATGGTCCCGCACCTATGAATATTAGGGTAAATTATATAAATGGTCACTAAACTTTTCAGGCACTTAAATTTAGGTCCCCCAACTTTTAAAATTTACAAAACAATTCTCAATTTCATTCTAAACCACAAATTCCAAAGTAATTCAATTTCATTCTAACCCTAAATTCCAAAATAATTCAATTACATTCTAAAACCCAAATTCTAAAATACTTCAATTTCTGTCTTTTTTATAAACGACGCCAATGTCACTAAATTATTAATTAATTTACTTTTTATATCTAAAATAATCATATGTGTTTTAAAAATAAATATATTTTTGATTATTTGTGTATGTTTTTATATCTAATCATACGTGTTAATATATTTTATATCTTTTACATAAATATTAAGACTACATAAATAGTAGAGTCAAAATTTTATATACGAGTTATGTTAATTATAGTAATGATGTATAAATATATTTTATTTTTATATTATTTCTATTATAATTAAAATATAAATATTACCATGATAATTAAATATTTATTTACTTATTACATCGAATATTTTTTGCAGAAAAATTATTTAATAAAATCATAAAAAACACAATAAAAAATAAACACAGAAGTTGACTACTTCAAAAATAAAATAAAAAATTCAATAATTTAATATAATATACCCTAAGTTGATGATAACAATCAACTCAAAAGAGATGGGGTTTGTGCCATGTTTTTGTAACATACGTAAACTTTCTATTTCATGGTCACGTTCACGTATTCTTTTAGTTCTAGCACGATCTATTTTTTAATTTTCTAATATAGGTAAAAAATGTTATTTTCTTTAAAAGTTTTAAATTCAAACAATTGTGTTTGTAGGGTATATCTATATTGTTAATAAATTAATTTTTTTGAATAAATACTATCTTATAATCACATCAAACTATTAAAAAAATTAAATTATAATTGAAATAAATAAAAATTATAAGGATGTCAATTGGGGATTTTGATTCTTAATTTTTTTCATTGAGAGATTGTATTTTTTTATTCAATTTCATCCATAATCATTTTTTATATTTAAATTATTGAAGATCACTAAATTTACATTTACGAGGAGAGAGTGTATTTTTTTCTTCACAAAAGTAAAAAAATCAAAACGCTATCACGTTCTTAAAGATAATCTATTATATTTCTCCTTAAATTGAAGTATTTTAGAATTTGGGGTTTAGAATGTAATTGAATTATTTTGGAATTTAGGGTTTAGAATGAAATTGAATTACTTTGAAATTTGGGATTTATAATGAAATTGAGGAATGTTTTGTAAGTTTTAAAAGTTGGGGGACCTAAATTCAAGTGCCTAAAAAGTTCAGTGACCATTTATATGATTTACCCTAATTTTCATAGGTGCGGGGACCATATTGCAAACGGATTAAATGTTTGGGGACTGTAT